AGTGCGATTAAATAAATGTGCAAGTTATTTTAACACACGAATCATCTTCGCGAATGTGCACTCTCTGTTAAATATTTTAATGAAGTTATCTCGTACTCGCATTAGCGAAATTCCCTGGTAGAATAAACAAGTTAAAAGTCCGATAATCGAGTGCACGAGGTATTCGTAAACATTGCCGGTGTTTACACGTTCGATCAATATTATTCGTAATAAATATTTGACGTCGAGCATCGGGAAACTTTTTAATTACATCGTTAATTAGCAAAGGAAATGCACAAATATTCACTGCCCCCGGAGCAACCCTCGGGACCCCTATTCTCCATAACAGCGAGTGTCTTATTCGCATCGTCACTGTGGGGGGTTTAATATCCGAAAAACACAGAGCCAGATGCTCTGCGGGGAAATGAAAATGAGACGCAAGGAATTTATGTGTTAACGGGATAGATTAAATTATTCCTTTAGCTCCGTGAAAGCGTGGTTTTAATCCTGCCTCGTGTTACAAAATATACGACTGTCTCTCCCAGCAAGACCGGAAAAGTTTAATGCACGCTTTCACCAGCCATGATCGTTTCAAATTACCCGCCATTAAACGAATTAAATTTCCCACAAAGATATTCCACGTTCTCCCGTGTACAGTAATGTTCGGTTAAATTCAGCCGAGTTTGTCAGACAGCAGTGGAATTCTCCCAAGCAGAAATATTTTTCCTACGATTCCACGAATTTTATTTTCCCTAATTCTCGTGCTATCTCCGTAAAAATATTCCCGATGCATCGTCGTGATTTTTCCGATTGAAACGAGTGCAAACACGATATAGCAAATGGGAGAAATTTTAATTACGCTAAATTCGTTTCGGTCCGAAGAATTTTAACGATATTATTAATTAATATGGGGTTCCGAGCAGTGAAGAACTCTAGCAAGGGAATAATAAACAGCGACATCGGCTTCGACTTAGGCGTTTAGAGCAGTGAGATATTTATGACTGGGTCGAGTGATTGAGAGAGAAAGCCTGTGTACGAAAAGAGAGAGTTTTGACTTTAAGTAAGGGTGCAAGGGTGCAGGCGAGGGAGATTATGTGTAGTCGAGACGTAGTGAAGGGAGGATCGTGTGTTTGAGAGTTAGAATTGAGAGGGACTTAGTGTAATATAATTAAAAACACCTGTTTTGTTATTAAAAAGGAGTTATTGTTTATTAGACTACCTAGAATCCTACATTAACGATAATAATTTTCTTATCAGCCGTATCAGCTCTAATTTCCAGAAAAGAACCTGCTCGTCCCGCGTAAATTTCCCCAAGCAAACGGCGGCGAAATTTAACCGAGAATTACTATGTACAGGTATATACATGGGCAAAAAATATCGGAAACCTTTTCCAGGAAAATTTTTCCATTTCCGATTTTTCCAGTCAATTTCCCGCGACATTTCATCCCCCATGCCCGAAACACTCATTCATACCCTTCGTTTGGCCCCGTTCGCGTCGTCGAACGATATCGCCATTTTTTCTCTCCCTCAGGGCTTTCGTGATTCGTCTGTCCGTTTCGCCAGTCATTTTCCACCACGTACCGTGGCGTTTACCCATCGTGCATCGGCGCGATTCGATTCATAAAGCGGGGCTCCCGCGTCGGGACCGATGCGCACGGCCCTGTTTAAACGGCCCGTCGATGGTCACGTACCGTTCGCGATAATTTCATCCGGCACGTTCCCGTTACGTTGATCAACAATGGCACGGGCCACGCGTTCCTGTGCATTTTCAATTTCCCTTCATTAAACGCGATTGTCCTTCGCAGAATGCTTAAGCATCAAGGGGGACGGTCGGGGGTGCACGGCTGGTAGCCGTGGCACGCGGTGCAATTCGACGTTCTCGAGACTGACATTTCTCTCGGATTCTGGTACGACGTCTGGTACTCTTGCGACGCACTTGAAAATCGTCGCCTTCGAATTCGCGCGCTCGTGTCTGCCGTTGACGGCGAATTTCGGCCATTGTTATACCAGCCATTGTGCCAGCCTCTACACACGAGGATCGCGCTCTTTCTCTATTTTTCCCCCCGAAAACACCTACCGATAGGCGCTATTTTGCGCGTCTGTTTTCTTCTATCCCGAAATACCGGCCAATGCGAATTTTCCAATTTCTTTTCCCAACAATCTCTGACGTTTATCACATTTATGAGTAGAATCAGTGAAATCCGATGAATGGATCCGCGAATATTTTATTCGATATCAAAATCTCGAAAATTGGAAACTTCTAGGTTTTTGGACTTCTACAATTTTGTAATTTTTCATTTGAGAAGCAGAGGTTATCGTTTGTTGCTCTTGGATCAATTATCGAATGACAGATCGGGGAATGATCAACCGACGACTGTTTCGACGAAATTCCGAAGCAAAGGGAAACGGGATTTTGCAAGTTCTTGCGGGAAAAAATTGAATGTTTACCATACTTAGGCGAATCACTGTAGTTTAGCGAGAGGCACGTGAATCAATATTTATTTTTAGGAAGATAAGCTTGAGAGGTGCTACCGCTCGATATAACAGCGGTCTCTCTACAGGAGTCTCCAGTTCGTTGAACATTCAAGGGTTGAAAACACTCCATAAATTTGCTTCTTTAACGATCCTCGTGAAATTTACTCTGTTCCCATATATGGATACCGGTAGTTAGAGGACACTAGTTGTCTCGAATCGTAAGTACCTTGGATCAGTTAAGGGATGCTGTGCAGAATTAGGGATGTTGCGAGCGAATGAAGCGTACTGGCAGAGGCTACTTCGCGTAACCAACTATTCTTCGTCATCGATACCTATTCAAAAATTATATTTTTGAGTTGTCATCCAACGAATACTAAGATTAACGCAGATTCTCCCCATATAAAACTCCTCCCATATAAAAATGTGGGAGCTTACAGAGCAACACAACTGACGTAACGTACCTCAATACTGAGTAACAAATTACTGTTCATGTTATGATAACGACTGTTGTTTTGATAATATCGTCGATGACAAAAAGCCAATTAACCCTTTGCACTCGAAAGGCATCTCTCATTCGCCATTTAATCAGATTCTAAAGATAGACGTTAATTAATATATCCAAGTTTAAAATTTCCCAACGATGCGTGGAATATCAAAGTAAAATATTTCTGCGTCTTAAATTCGCTTTCGATTTCTTATTTACCGCTTTATGGCAGAAAATCTTCGAATTACTAGTTTCCTGTAACGAAAAAATCACCGAGTGCAAGGGGTTAATAGGTCATCGGTCGGTAAAGTGTTAACGAAACTGTAACTAACCTAAAAATCGTACGAAATTTTTGCGTAATTGGGTCATCGAGTAAATGACACCCTATATACTGTCACGTTCCTTTTTCTCAAATCAACCTTTCTCCCCCCCGAATTTTCTTTTTGGCTAAATAATTAACGGGTGTAAAATTGTATCTCCGAGCTGGAAATTTCTCACGGTAGATCTGTTTTTGTCTCGCATAAAGGATCTCTTAGTCTCGCCTAAATGATATTGTAGAGGAAAGACGGGAAAGTGGATAGACGCCTGCGAGTGCCAGCTTTAGCATTGCGCGTGCAAATTTACACGAGAGAGAGCCTCTTTGAGGTACACCTGAAAAACGTGCAAAAAGTGTCGCCGGGTTAGGAACGAGCCGAATTAACCGAGGCTTACGACGTCCGTAGCAGACAAACTTAATGGCTGGTACGAAAATATTTTATGGTGTACACTCTAAGACTGATGCCGGATTTAGGACGAAGGTCGCAATGGGAACGCGAGGCCTGGCAATTTCGCGATTCCAGAATTCGTGTCGCTCGTGTTTGCTGGAACTGACTCGTTTTCTTATTTCTGTTCGCTTTAACCATATCTCGTCCAGCTATACTTTATCACGCGTTGTTAATAAATATCGGTCGTTGATGGTAGATTTCCGCTTCCCGAGGACTGTTCATAATGGAGGATCGACATGTGCGAGTGATTTTATAAATAAAAGATTTATATCGGCGAAAAGGGAAATATCTTTGCTAATTTTTCGACGATTAATACGCAAACAGGCGACGTTTCGGGAACGTCGATGATACTAAATTAGACGGTACGGTTGTACATATTTATGGTTTCCTTTCGACGAAAATCGCCGAATTTTCCAACGTTCTCCCACGCGATTCTCGCTGGGCCTCTTAATTTTGAAGAATCAGCGACCTATAAATACTTGTATATTCAGAATCTCTCGTTCCCGTTAACCTGTCTATCTCTGCCGCGTGCTTAACAAGAAAAGTTAATTTCGGACATACCCAGAAGGCATGCCAACCACGCGCTCTAATGAGCCGATGAAAATTCACCGGTGACCGAGGCTCTAGCTCACCCTCCATCCTTCCGTACATTCCGACAATCCCGAATTTATTTTCGAGTCATATGCTCGTCCACCCACTATCATCTCTTAACGAATATTCGATATTTTCGACACAAAAGCTGTGCCGTTACGCTTTCCGAGAAGCAGCCTCGCTATAACACCTAGCTCCTCGATGCCACGTGTTCTCACCCTGTTCCAAAATTGAAATCCTTTCGACTTCTCTATCCTCGAGACTGCGACTACTTAAAATTTACATCACGGACTTCGCTGCCAAGAATATTCCCTTTAACCCTTTAGAGGAACCATTAATCCTATTTCACGCAGAGCCACGAGTATCCGAATTTGTTAAAATATCGATCGTTTTAATTTTCTTGGGTATTCTTGACCGTTCTTTGCAATATAATTCTGGTATATTAAGAGATCGATATCCCTGGAAGTCGAGGTAGGACGGAATAATTGTTTCGAGGAACTATAGTTCTGGAAGTTGGCAAAAAAGGTGATAAAAGAATCTTGGAATCTCTGAGCGATTTTTCTGAAATAATTCGGTTCGGAAGGGTTGGGAAATGGGATGGAATGCTATGAAAGGAATAACGTGTCCGCGAGGAATAATTCTATCGAGGTCAGTGAGACTTTGAGTAGCCTAGATTAACCCTCTGTTCTCGTTTTGCTTCTTTGCAGATCGAAGTTTTTTAGTGGCCAACGCTCAACAGGGACTATGTCACATAATATACTGCTCGGACGGTTTCTGCCGGCTGACGGGCTTCTCGAGGGCGGAAGTGATGCAGAGACCGGCGATCTGCGAGTTCCTTCATGGGCCAATGACGTCGTCCCATGCGGTCGCGGCCGTCCGCGACGCCCTCGCCGCCGGCGTCGAAAAGCATTTCGAGATCCTTTACTACAGGAAAGACGGTGAGTCATGCAAGTCCTCGATTTGTTAATAACTAATTGCACCCGCGAACCCGGTACCCTCTACCGTGTTGCCGTTCTATCGACGGAATCCATAATACAGGCCACGGTATCGACTTTGTCGCGATGTTTATTCGCTTTTCAAGAGGGCGGAAAGGCCTGCGATTTACCTCCTTTGAAGTCGCCCGGAGACCTCGTTTCAGGGATGAATGCTTTTGATTCTAGCTACGAAAGCACTTTTTATTTATTACCCTAGCAAGACAAACAGTCGATGCGAATAATTCGATCAACCGAGTGGCCAATTTGTCCGGGATTTTATTAGAGATTTAGATACCCACGAAGGACAACCTCTGTCCCGCGAATTCTCATTCGCTTTAAGATCCTATCGACAGCCTGTATCGCCTCTTTGGCAGCCAGTGGACCGATTCCATCGAAGTGAGTAATAATACGAGCCCTGAACGCTGTCAATTTTTCTGGGGCGCGAGCCAGGCACTTGGGCTGCGCGAACTGGCAAGATCCGCACTAGTCGTGGGAACCGGGAAATCGGACATCCTGAATTCCTACCCGGTGTGTCGTCTAATCCCAGTGTGTCTTGGCAACGTCCATTAACTTTCTAGGGACATTGTTTCTCGTATCTCCAAGAATAGTCGAAGCGTCTTGTGCTATTGCCAAGTAATAGTTGCCTCTAGAAACGTACCGTTTTCTCGATTCTTCGTTGTCACTTGCACCAATCGATACTTATACTCGGCGATTATTGCACTGGCCATCGTAAACACTCGCGGGAACGAGTAGCTTGACGAATTGGTACGCTATAGTTCCGAAAGGAACACGGTCATTGTATTCAACAGCTGACCTGTTTAATCTCAGCTGCGATCCTCGTGTCTTCTCGTATCTGGCATTTCTCCCCAGGGACCACGGAGAGATCCATGAAAATTATTTCTTGGAATATTTTCATTCCCACGACGTTCCCTTCTCGACGTTCACCGCGCGACTGTATTTAAAGGTAGCTGAAATATTAATTCAATGATAGGTTCTGCGTGCTTTAACTTTGCGTTGAGCAGCTGTAAAGTTCCCTTTAAAGTACTTTGCATCAATCCTGGAAACTTCTTGTTGTCAGTGCTATTAACCGCCTCCCCTACTGACTCACTTCGTAACGATCTTTACATCGATGCTATACACCACGCTTTATAACCCATTTTCTTCTTCAAAGTTTATCATTTCAATAATTCCTTTTACCCTAGTGTTTCCACCAGCGCGTGTCTGCACATCGAATGGCACCGATTTACACGGCCTAAATAATAATTAAGAACACTTGCAATTCCTTTGCCTACTACCCTTCGTCAAAGGCTCTAAGTCGAGGCTCGAATAAGATTTTAACGAGCGAGGAAAATTAGGTTTATCCGTAAAATCGACCGGGAAGCGTAATCTTCTTTAAGAATAGGGAATACAAGTGCGACAGGAGGCCTTGAACATCGATTTATGGGATTTCGGGAGCGGTATGAGCATTTCCAATTTTCCCCGAGTGCAATTTCTCATTCCCTTAAGCGATACTTACAGTCACTTTAGGGGACGACTTCGTCAGCGCGGAATAACCCGGAATTTACATACTTCATCGATGATCGTGATTTTCTGGACACGAATCGCTGCTCGGCCTCTTCGCGGCGGTTGTAAGAACCGTCCCGTTATTTAGAGCGGGAAAATTGAATTTATTCGCGGGCCGATGGTTGGCTGGAACTCGATTTTGCCGTAGTGTCTGACCTTAGGCGCGGTGAGATCAATAGTCACTACTGTATAATTTATCATAGTCGTAGCACGAACCATGTTGGCCCATCTGACTGCTCCCGGTTCGGTCCCCCTGGACTCGAGATGCCAACTTTAGCGCACTAAAAATCTAACCTGTGTCAAAACTTGCGCTATCTCTTCTTCTTTAATGCCGCGATGGCCGTGGGTCACCTGTGACGCTTTCAGTTGTCAATTATGCTCGATAAAACTACGCAAACCGCGTAAACAAAAATCATTTTCAATTTTCGAATTATGATTAATATTCGAACAGCAGATGAAAACGAATATGTCAAAATTCTTTGTTTTTAATGTAATCGATATATAATAATATCGCGTAATAATGGCGCCGAAAGGTAAACCAGCAGAGGACCCATTAAACACCCACGTGATTGATTATCCCTAATTTTCAAATTGTTTCCAAAACAATCCAATTTCCATCAAATTTGCGTCACGATATGTTACTCGAAATTTCATACTTTATGAAAGCAGATCTCTCAGCGATGTTTCGCTATATTCTCTGACTGTATCGATCTATGATCCCTCGATGATTTGGCTCGTGAGGGATCTCGAATCATAACCGTGGCGTAACAACTGTCGTCAAGAAAGCAACTCGGAAATAGGATACACACGTAGAAACGTGCGACAGGCACAAAGGGTAGGAAAGAAGGGTGTCAGCGTGAAAGTGGTGAAAGGTTGGAAGTAGTCTACTCCGACCACCTGCAGCCACCTCTGGCTAGTGTGTTATAGCACGTCATGCTGCCACTGAATCTGCACGAGCAGGTGCACGTCACGGATTCCCACCTTGACGAAACGAACTCTCATTGTTCCCTTTATTTTGCTCGCTGAAAGATCGTCGGAGGTATCGATTGTGGGGCATAAAGGGTAGGCGATCGGTGGTAACCCTCTTGGAGGGGTGTATTGACCGTGGAGGCTTTCAGCGTGTAATAAGATGAACGGCGAATTTGGAGCTCGTTTCTTCTCGTTCCTCCCAACTCCGTTACGTTGTGGCTTAGCACCGTGGCTCCTTTTTATGGGGTCGTGAACGTGCAGCAACGGGGGATGTGGAAATGTCAGGGGTTACGGGACCAGGAGCCTCCACTCGTTTCGATTGCCAACGTTTCTTCGCTGTTTCCCCCCCATTGATGCGACGGAAATTAATGCCTATCGAAACGGGCACTGAAATGTTGGACTTTTATTGCACGGTTCTGTGACGGTGTCGTAGCTTTCACGATATAGGGAAGACTTAAATTAAAGCATCAAGTGGCAGCACCGATTGATGGCGACACCCTTTGGTGCACCTGGTGTTCCGCCCCTGTGCCAATAAGGATCGAACCGATACTACCGATGAGAATATTCGCAGCTAGTTTTCATCCAAATAGATTAAAAAACGAGATGTCAGTGAAAAAGAAAACAATTTCACCGTGTAACAATGGCGGAAATATACTATGACTAAAAGGAGGATTTGAGTAATTCATTTATTTATTTATTTAATAATAATTTACGGGTAGTGGAACCCATTAGTGTATGAACAAAAATAAAAATACATCAGATTGTTAGAGAGAAAAGGAATATAGGTTATGTATGGTACAAATGCCGATATAGTCGATATGAACAATTTGCTTAGAGATTTAAGATCTGGTTTTTAAACGAAGAGATATTATTGCCAAAAAGTTGAAGGTTTGATGAGAAATTGTTTGCAAGAATGCATATTCTATTGATAGGGTCTGCTGATTCAAGTGGTGCAGTATTATGCTGGTCAGGTATAAAGATTTGAAAGTTTCTTAAATTTCTCGAAGGAGCATGAAAATTAAAGGAAGATAATAAATAATAAATAATAAAGAAGAGAGGAATTCTATCGATGGAAGAAACAGATGAGAGCCAGGAAGAGAGGAATTTTAGTGGATAAAGACACGCAAGAATGGCGACGATGTTCAGATTCCTGTGATATCTTTCGATTCCAAGGGGCAGTATTCTAGAAATCTCAGAGTGGAGGGTTTATATGGGGTGGAGATGAAGTTACAAAGTTGCCGATATGAAAATGTGTCACGATATATCGTCGAGGGCTCTACTATACGCATTAGCGTGAGTGTAAAGTTTCCCCAGGCTGGCCTTGAGTCCTGGCTTTAGAACCTTGAAGGATTCCGGGAGTATGGAAAATTAATCGATCATAGACCGACTTTGAAACTACGTTCCGCTGCATGGGCTGCGCAGACTTGATTATACCGATGTTTGATTAAAGCCACCCCGATATAGCTTCCTTAGCTAGCCTGAGACGTGTGTGTTTAGTCGCATTGGTCGCCTAAAATTCAACCCCCACGAACCACTATTTCCAGAAAGACGCGGGTGAAGCTTCAAAATTCGATCTCTATAGAAAAGCTGAGTAGCCATTACGAATTCCACCTCGCATTCGTTCTCGAATTTTCGAAAGAAATTCCCCCAAAAATATTCGAAAAATAAATGGACGAACTGGATGAAGGAAAAAATAGATTTTTGATTGGCAAATATAAGGAATAAGAGATGTTGTTTTATTCCAATATATATTTACGTAGTAATATCAGGTTGAGAGTCAGTGCGCAAGAGCCCTTGGGCCCGTCTAGCTAGCGACGGGCAATAGATGTAGGATTGGAATGAAAGAATGTTAAGAGTGCTTGGGTTTAGAACGAAAGTGACCGTGTACAAGAGGATTTAATGGATGTTAATGAGCTAAATGAGACTTAGGAGTAAATTCTAACTAAAAGACTAGACTGATAATTGCTGTATAATCACGCAACTAATCACGCAACTCGTAGGCCAATTCTTCCTCTAATTTCGTAAAGAACTTTCTTTCTTTTCTTCTTTTACGTGCGGGAAATTTTCGAAAGATACCCCGTCCCTTCCCCCAGGAGTATCTCTAAATCTCTCATTATGTGAGATTTGTATTCATTAAATCCCCACGATGGTCATCCTCGCCGCGCTGGGGGAGTTCCGAGATCTCTCGCGAACGCGATCGGTGCCCCCCGTGGTATGCCCAAACCTTGGGCCCAAATCCGCCAAGAATCAAGTCATAGACGTACAGCGCCGCGCGAACTCCGTAAAGAACTGTCTTTAGGCAGCCCTTGCACCCTTATTTAAACCTAGGCATGCTTTCTTCCTCGTTCACTTGTTTTTCTCATGATTTGACTCTCGGTGGGCCAGGTACTCTAGCCACTCAGATGCATTCCTAACTTTCGCTCGTTGTTCGT